TTCATTGCTTCGCACAATTTCCGCAGTGACATTTTACAATTGTCCATGGCACTGACAGACAGACAGTTGTTGGCAAAATAATAGCAATGAAGATCTTATCCGTACATTTATGGAATTATCTGTGGGAATTACAACTTTAAGTGGACTTTTACAAGTGTTTTGATAGATAAATGCCATGGATTAAGTCAGTCCCTTAAGGGGAGTTGAGTTTTCTCTGGTTTTTTTTTTCAATGAGTAACTTTTAATGATTTTATTGTTTTATTATTGAAATTAATTTAAAAGTTTATTTTATTGAAAAATGAAGAAGATATATTTGATCTATGCTCATTTTCAATGAGGAACATTTATGATTATATTGTTTCTTTATTATAGATATTGGATTTAAAGTTTATTGATTTAAAAATGAAAAAGATATCTATCTATTATAACTTTCAATGAGAAACTTCCTGGGAATTTTGTTGAATTAATATTGAAATGAAGTTTTGACTTTAGTAAAATAAAAAATAACAAAATATTGTTTTGAAAAGCCGAATGATTATTTGTTCCATGAAGAATAAAACGTTATGAAGATGGATAACATTATATTTACACATAATAATATTAATCATACATATTTATGTATTATAACAATTTAAATTTATATACGGTATAAGAATTTTGGGTAATCAAAATATCTATTATAAAACTTGGTTTCTAAAATTTTTAGATTTTTCAATAGGAAATATGTAGTTGGATAAACTTAGCAAGCAGTGTGGCACTCTGCTTCTATTGCTTTGCCTGCCACTGTACATATCTTATGTGTGGTTTCCATTTACTGATCTCTGTCATTGCCCCGACGTCATCCACCTCACACACACACACACACACACACACACACACATAGGTATGAGCACACACACACACACAGAAACGCACGTGCATAAACATTTCTCAGCTGCCATTTCTCTCTGTTGACACAAATCATTCGCTGGAAGTGTCGCTCCCGTTTCCACTAGGCCCCCTCCCCCACTCTTCCTGTCCCCCATATCCGCCCCTTCCAGCCCACCTTCCTCCCTCCCCCCTCTCTCCTTCCTGTCATCCCATCTTGACAACTTTTTTGTTTGGTCTTGGTGTCCAAATGCATGAAAGAGGCAAGGAGCTCGAACCGCTTTCGTACTTCGTATCGCTTACACTTGGCGACTTGGGGCTGGATGGATGGTTGAAGAGCTTTGGACGATGGCAAAAATGTTTGAACAGTTAAGAGTTCTGGACAGAGGTTAAAAAACAAGTGATTGAAAACTGTTACATTTTTGAGGGAAAGAGGGAAATGGAAAGGTGTTTTCTTTTTTCCTGTAATTGGAAAATGTTGAGTCATTTCGAACTATAAATTAAAAATATATCCCCAACATAAAAGGAAGCCCGAAAATTCTTTACCTTTGCAAAGTAAATCCTTCATAGTTCATTCAAAAATGCATTAATTTTCAATGGGGAAGCAATTCTGTGTTAGTTTTTTTAAGGGTAAAAAATCTGCATACTCAATTTATATTTTAAAAAATTATCATTTTGCCAATTTTTAAAAATTTTAATGATGTAACCCTTTATAAAATTTTCAAAATTTTGAAAAAATTAAATTTTACTTAAACATAGCTAGATACATTCAGCTGCTGATGCTGATCAAGAATATATACATATGATTTATAGGGTCGGAAATGACTTCTTCACTACTTTAGATGCTTCCGACTAAAATTATAATACCCTGCCAGAGTGTAAAAATGGTAATAGCTTAAGAAAAGTCATCAGTTGCTCTAAAGATATACAATTATAGAAAGCAACAATTTTCTTTTACTATATAGCAGAATATATAAATTAACCTATAACATTTCCTAGTAAATAGTTATAATCTATTCTTGACAATATGATTTTTTTAAAGAGAGATTCTTTGAAACTCTATTAAATGATTTAAATCGCATTTTATGAATGAAAGTTTCCACTTCATATTTTTTTATTACAAAAATACAATAAGTATAATATATTAAATCACCTTTATTGGAAATGTATGTATTTCAAGCTCTAATTTATGTAAAATATATTTCCATCCTTATAAGAAAGGTCTATTATAATCAATAAAAGTAGAAACAATAATCCCCAGTCGTATAACTTGGGATATTTAATTAAGAATTATAATCAGTTCTTAACCAATGTTATGTGGTATGTTAATGATATATTATTTTTTTGTTAAACATAACTTATGTTTCCTAAAAACTACCTCAATATAATTTAAAACCCCCACGTGAAATTATCACATTTTCCTTCTCAATTTAAAACTAAACTTTCGAGGAATATTTCCTAATTTGAAAGGAAATATTTGCCAAATATCCTTTGGGCCAGCCTGGCAAGTTCTTGTCCCAAGACAAATCAACATTCCGTAGCCAAGAATTTCTAGACCAGAAAGAGAAAAGCGAGAGATTTCGAACAAAAAAAAATAAAGAAAGAAAAAACCAAACCGACAAACGAACGAATGAACAACTTTATGAACATTTTTGCACTTGTCTATTTGGTCCACTCCCAAACAAAGAAAATATGTAATTCAAAACATTGTTCAAGTGTTCCAGTTTTTACTGTAAGATAGCATGTATCTGTGAAGTTGTTTATGAAACTTTTGCACCACACATACATTCATGCATAGGAAGAAAATGGAGGAAAATACACATGGAGACGAGAAGGAACTTGACCATGTCGCTTGCCAGTTTTGCCCGTTGTTTGCCAAGCCGTTACTTGTTAGTCCATGGCACTGAGAATAAATGGTAGTAACTCTATAAATCGGAAATAATTTATAATATAACATATTTGAGAAATAAATAAATAGGATACCTAATTATATGGGAATTTTTCTAAGGGTTTTCTATGAGTATATTTTCCTTTACCAATACTCCTAGTTAGCTAGAACTTGTTTATAAGATCATAAGAACATTAATTCCTTCTGTGTAAAATCTATGGCCTTTTCCCTCCTCCCCTTGCATTATAATGGTGTGGAGCATCGTGATGAGCTCTTTGGCAGCTCCTTTTCCATTTCCATCTTGGCCGCAACTCTCGACTCGACTCCTCGCCTAATGGATGTCTCTTTGTTTGGCTCGGTTCTGTCGTATCTCGTTTTTTGAAGCCGCATCTATCTGTATGGCACTCCAGCCATCATCCGATTCCTGCGATTCCCTTCTCCTCCAGCTTTCCGCCCGATGAAATTGCGCAAGCAAACAAACATACGTCCATTTTGGCCCTCTCTCTCTCTCTGTTGCTGGGTTTTTGTTTAGACCCGGCCAACTAGCCGGCACTATCGGCCATTGGCACTCACTTCTCGCCCACGCTCATGCTCATGGCTTCAACCCTGCACTTCGCCTGACCGCCTCTTCCGCTCGGGGAATAAATTTTAGAAAAATCTTTTCTTTCTTTTTTATTTTTGCAAGCCATTTACTGAACCATGTCAGCAGGCGAAAGTCGAAATGCTGTCGATGGTGGCGTTGAAATCTAAACATTATGCAAATGCTCTTTGATATTATTGAGGAGTTTGGACAGTGTAAACATTGTGGGTGGGATTGATCAATTCTGTGGCAATGCCTGAATGGATTTACCCGAAAAACCGAATTGGTTGAAATGTTGTTATACTTTCTTTGCTTTTGGCTTGTAACTTTGATGTTATGTGTTATGTGTGTAATCTTTGAGTATAGATTAATTTTACATAAGCACAAATATTATACTTGTAGATTTGTTGGGATACATCAAGCTTAAGATGGGCGTAAATATTTGGAAGTCGGGATTTAGGCTTAAAGAATACCTAGCGTGTTTGAAAATAACGAAAAGGTGCCAAAAATTAAGCTACATTTTAAGTTTTTATAATATAAATCGTAAAATTATAAAATCTTTCACTGAATATGGTGCCTCAAAAGTATGTTTCAACACTTTTAGATGCCTTTATTTAAGGGTTTTCACAGTAGGCTCTTTTTAAGCAGTATATAAAATAATGAATGAATTTTGTATGAACTGTTCTTGAAATTTGTGTACAATCAAATAGCTAATATAGAAGTTAGTAAACAATTTTGTTAAGAACGTGCTGCAAGCAACAAAGGCTACATGCTTATAGCAACATTTGCCCTGCTACAATGCCCTAGCAACATTTGCCCTGCAACATTTGACTACCTAGACTAGCAGCATTTGTTGATCAACATATTCTTGTGCTCTCCTCTAAGTTATATTTATGCTTTTCGATTTATTTACTAAATTACAGAACAATATTATTTATATATTTCCTCTAAAAGGTTATTATTATTATTATTATTATTATTATTATTATTATTATTATTATTATTATTATTATTATTATCTCTAAGCTAAACCTTTAAAGAACATTTCTCTTTAACCTAAACCCGACCAACGATCACTCTGATCCTGCCACCCCAGAGTGCTCTGAATACTTGGCTAAAACAATGCCAACTATTTGCGCCCGTTTCGGAACCAGTTCCTCATCGCCTTGGCCAAATCATGTTTACACGATTTGCCAAATAAAGGAAGGAAAACATATGCAAAAAGAGACAGAGACAGAGAAAGAGGGATATAAAAAGAGAACGAAACCAAACAGTAAAAGCAAATTGAAAATTGTGTCATAACATTAAAAACAAGTTGGCCTAAAACCTGAACCTATCCCACCACCACTACCAATGATTATGATGATCATGATGATCATGGTCATGATTATGGGGATGTCTGTTATGGGGAGACCTGTTTTTCCTTGTGTCCAGTCCCCGAGAGAGCTGAAAAGGCAATGCCAATGGTCTGTATTTAGTCTGCCAGCCGGGATGTTGAATTATGGGAGCTGTTTTGAGCCAAAAGTGGGTCAACTTGGTCTGTGGTCTTTGGTCTTTGGTCTGTCTTGGAACGGAATGTGATTTGTGGCATGAACAATGTGTGAAAATGGCCCGACAACGACTTGACTTATCCCCCCAACTCACCACTCCTTGCTTTCCTTGCAGCGAATGTGTTTCAATGATGTTACTGCCTTCGGGGCGTTCGAATAGTGATGTCTATCCGCTGCAAAATGCCGCCAACACAACAGCCAGTACATCAGCTGCTGGTGCAGGAGGACCAGGAGGAGGAGCTGCTTCCAAGCCCTTGCTACTGACACGAACATCATCGCCACAATTGACAACAACGCTGCCGACAACAAATGGCTCCATTGCCCATCCCATCCATGCCACGCCCACTCGCTCCAACGGATGTCCGCAGTCCCTGCCCGGAATCCCAGCGATAGCGCCCATTGGAGCACTGGAGGCGACAACAACGACAACAACAACAGACCTGGTCACTGGCATTGGGAATGGGAATGGTAATGGTAATGGAAGCGGAACCAACTGCGGCACCGGTATCTATGGGCCAATATTGGGTCAAAGTCAGGGGGGTGTCATGTCTGGCATTGCCGGAAATTGGCCAGAAATTGATGGACACTTGGAGGCCATACAGGAGAAACTCAAGCCCGGCTGGAGTGTACATGTGGGCAAGGAGGGCAGGCTCTACTACTGCAAGTAAGTTTTTAATATTAGCAACTAATCACTTGAGTTAAATTCTTAAAATTAAAAAGGAGTTTCCATGGTCAACTGTAATTTCAAAAAAGTTTTAGCCACATTTTAAGCCTTGGTTACACAAAATTTTACAGAAACTAAAATGATTTATTTATTTTGCTTGCCAATTAGGAAACTCTTTAGGGCTTTCCAGAAATTTCACAAGATTCATTGTCCTTGGCCCAGTAGGAGTCCTGTTTTGTTAAAACAGAGCATTGCTGCCAAAAGTGTTAAATTTATTTATAATTATATATTTAAAAGGTTTAATCAGAGTACATAAAGTAAATATTTACTCAAATTTACTTGAGGAATATATGGCTCATTTTTGGTAGTTATTTCTTTGGCCAAAATGAAGATATTTAAGGATGTTTAGTATTATATTTTATGGGAATTTAAATAATACTCTTAAATGACCAAACTTAGCTTACACAATATTTAGATTTCATAATCTAAAACTGAATTTCTTAACTAAAACAGCTCTAAGCAAAAACCCTAGTATGAAAATAAATAAAGCTAGCAACAAAAGTCAAAAGTTAAATATTAAACTCTCAGAAATACCTAGTTTTGACATTAATTCCCATTGCATTTTGACGTGGCTTTTGCTGAAACCACATTTTTTTTAATAAGTTTTGCCATTTCTATGAGTTTTGCTACGCAACAGAAAGAATATTTAACAAGGCAGAAAGGCCGTCGTTTTTATGACCATTAGCGTGGGCAAAGTTTTTAAGCATTTCCATGGCATTTGGCCCACTGAACGACTGAGGAACAGAAGGACTGAGCAACTGAACAAGTGACGGAATGAGGGAATGATGGCCGACGATGGACTGTGTCCTGGCCCGGTTAGATTGGATGAAAGTGGCTGGCGGAGAGATTGAATGGACCACTGAGTGAATGCTGGGCCCACTCTCTCTCGCTGCTGCACATAAATTGATTATGCACGAAATTCTATTAAATAATTTTACACTTTGTTGCACATCAAACTGAAAGCACACAAAATGCCATAACCAAAAGGGGTCTGCTCTGCCAGTGGGCTGGCCTTGGGGCGGGTAGGTGGGCCTCTCTCTCTCTCTGGGTCTGTGGGTCTGCCATCGAGGCGATAGTCTGAATGAGTGAGCAGCTCTGCTTGGTGGGATCCATGCCCGGACCCGGACCCGGACCCGGCTCCACTCCCTCTCCACGCCGAAGAGAGTGTGCAAAAGTGCAAAACTAATTATCACAATTGTGTGCAGCCAGGAAATGAAGAAAGACAGCAACGGAAGCCACCAAGGTGGCCCCTCAGATGTGGGGGCTGCAGTTGGATTTTGATGGGGATTGGGTTTTGGTGTACGGTATCGAGCTTGGTTACAGTGGAACTCCTTTTGTTTAAATTTTATTACTTGATATTCATATTTATTCAATATTCTTTCATTTAATTTATTGGTTTGATTATATTTATTCCATTGAACTCTGTTTTGCGTAGTCTGGTTTGCTTAATATGAGCCTGGGAGGCTAAGAAATATTGACTTATCGAAGATGTATCGATAAATGAAGCAATATCCAATATTAATATAGAGTTATCGATTCTACATTGCTATTTCTCACGGAGATCCCTGAATCAATATTAATGTCATACAATAAGTAAGTCATTTATAATGTAAAGTTAAAGGAGATATCCAATTAAGAATATCTTATTTTTGTTGTTTTATTTTAGATAACATGCAATATTGCAAATTTAAATTTCAATAAATTAAATGTTTAATATTTTCTATAATTGAATATTTTTGATATTTTCCTTTCATTTCCATAAATATCCCAAACATTAACCCATTTAATTTGATACTTTCTACAAGACGGAATTTCCTGTTTATTCATTAGTTCACCATAATAAGGCCCCACTGTAGTTGGGTTCGATTGGGGTGTGTGGATTGAGGCCCGGTTTTGTCTCTAGTTCTGGGGTCCCGATTATGGGTTTGCTGTTTATTGCATAGTTGAGCAAATAACCCAATTAGCGTTGATTAATGTCAATTGAAATGCATTTCTAAATACAAACATATTTCTGGGTTGTGGATACGAGAGGAGTGGGTGGTGTGGGTGACCACAAGTTCAGGGTCAAAGGGGGATGTAATGCTTGAAAATTATAAATAGAAGGATGCTGCAATTCCAATGAAATTTACAAAAACAATTTCATAGAACTACAAATATCCTGCTCAAAGATGTCTTCAATTATTAAATACCATTGTTTATTATCTAATATGAAATTGCTTGTAAAATGCAGCTTAATCATGGATATAAACAAGAGAATTTAAGTGAACTCAAAGCTGTGAGCACATAAACTATGATACATTGTAGTTAAATTGGATTTAATACAAGACTGAACAACTAGTTGCCATTGGTTGATGTGTCTCGGCTGACGACTTACTTGTCTATATCTATGATTGCATTTTATTCTGCGGTTCGTAATAAATACACATTTTCACTGTATTGGATTACAAATTGCCATTGACAGCTGACTGAGCACTGTTCCATTGACTCATTTCAATATTTGGATTGGGGTTATCACATTTTGTGATATTTTGTTTAACTACCTTTAACTCAGCTCCCTTTTTAACCCATTTTATTGCAACATTTTCAGTCACATGACTCAATCTGCTGGCTGGCTGCCTGCCTGTGAGGATTGGAGCAAACACGAGGAGCTCTCCTATGGCTGGGAGCGTGCCATAGACTCCAAGGGTCGTTCCTACTACATCAAGTGAGTATATAGTCCTGGAAATGGTTCCAAAATATACCCTAATTAAATCATTATCATACCAATTAGCCACCTCAACAAGACGACCACATACGAGGCCCCCGAATGCATACGCTGGGATGAGCATCCACCGGAACCACGAATGGTCCAGCTTCAGAGGAACGCCAGCCTTGGATTTGGTTTTGTGGCCGGGAGTGAGCGTCCCGTGATTGTGAGATTTGTGACAGAGGGTGGTCCTAGCATTGGTAAACTCCAGCCGGGTGATCAGATCCTGGCGGTGAATGGAGAGGATGTAAAGGATGCCCCGCGAGATCATGTCATCCAACTGGTGCGAGCCTGCGAGTCGCAGGTTAATCTCTTCGTCTGCCAACCGATGGCACACTGCATCCTTCCGGGCAGAAAGTCCACCCTTCTCTCTGCGGGCAAGCGAGCCAAACTGAGGTCACGTCCTAGTCGAGTCCGATTCGCGGAGAGTGTGTGCGTCAATGGAGCTCCTCTGTTTCCCGTAAGTTTCGATATAGAATCTTCTTACGGAAAGGAAGTGAAATAATTTGAGGTTTTCTTATTACCATTAGCCTTCAGCCTTCTCCCTGGGCGACATCTGTGTGCCACCGATGGCCAATGTGTTGAAGGTATTCCTTGAGAATGGTCAAACCAAGTCCTTTAAGTACGATGCCACCACAACGGTGCAGGATGTGGTTAGTTCACTGCTGGATAAGCTCTGTCTGTGCTGCGGTGAGCTATTCAGTCTGGTCCTGGAGCATGTGAAGAGTCTCAAGCGGAACAAGCTCACACTGCTGGATCCACAAGAGTCCTTGGCAAGGGTAAGCATTTAATAAATTATAGAAATATATTACTAACTCAATGTATCCCATGTTTTTCCCACAAAGATTGCTGCTCGTCCCGGCGCCCATAAGTTGAGGTGCCTCTTCCGGATCACCTTTGTGCCCATTTCAGCCGCAGAGCTGGCACAGCGGGATCTCCATGCCCTGGACTACCTGTATTTGCAGTGCTGCAACGATGTTAACCAGGAGAGATTCGCCCCAGAGCTTCAACCGGAATTGGCACTCCGATTGGCCGCCTTGCACATGCATCAGCACGCCTTGGCCAACAATTTTTCCCCCTCAAAGCTCACCGTCAAGCTGGTGGAGTGAGTTCAGCCTTAAGTCCTCGAGATGCTGTTCCTTTATTTACAATTTGCAATCTCTTCTCTTATTTTTTTGCAGACGAGAGTTCGGGCTGGAGCGCTTCGTCCCAGTGAGTCTGTTCGAGGGCATGAAGCGGAAGGAGCTGCGCCGTCTGATTTCACACTTCCTGAAGCTCAACGCCGAGATGACGGGATCCTCCAGCAAGGTCCTCACACAGTTGCAGGTGAGTTTAAATAGAGAAAATGTGTATAGCAAAAGTGGGAAATAGTAAATGCAATAAAAAGAGAGCATTCAAATAGGAATAACAAAGTTATGTCTGGCAAAAAAGGAAATTCACTTATTGGTTTTGCAGTTGAGTAGAATACAGAGAGAACTGAATCAAATTACAGTGGGATCTGAATCCTTCTAAATATAAAATTGAACATATTTTTGTGTAATTTTTCCAGGCCAAACTCCATTATCTAGATATTATTGCTAGTTTACCCAGCTATGGAGCCAAATGTTTCAGCACAAACCAAAGAGAGGGCGTCGAACGCGTCCTTCTGGTGAGTCCGCGTTTTGGACTTAGCCAGATATCCAGTGCCCGTAATTCGGTGGTAAGTTTTCACCAAAACCTTTTTAATATCAAGATGAATAACGCACTTGTTTAAGCATTGAAGCAACAAAATTGTTATGGCGTTACTCATCTTGTTTGGCTGGAGTTTTCCCGACTAACCATTCCTTTCTCCTTTTTAGCCACAACCCATTTCCGCCATCGAGGACTTCACCCATGTTGTGGTGAATCGCGAGGACGATGTCACCTGTAGTGTATCCATCTTCATGCTTGGCGATCGAGCGGTGAAATTCATCATGGAGGATCGCGATGCCTGTGAATTTAGCCTGGTTTTAGGGGGCTACTATCGACTGCTAACAGGTGAGACATTCTTTTAAACTTTTTAAAGAAAATATCCTAATGATTTCAATTGCTTCAAAAGGTAACATGTTAAATATACTGCGAGAACGGGAACCCCACGATGAGGACAATGCTCCCGGCTTCCTTTCCCAGCACACAGTGCTCCCAGCGGGTTGGAGTTACCTGTTGCCCTTCCATACGAGAGCGCACAGCGTCAACTTCCTGATGTCGCCCCCGTATCATCCGCTCGTTCAGCGAGGTCAACTCCAGCAGCAATCATCCGTACAGGCACCACCATCGCTGCCCTATGCCATGGACCTGGACCTGCACAGTGTGATGGCCACTGAGCTGCTGGAGGAGGCAGCCAAGGATTCGGGATTGAGTGATAGCAGCGGTAGCAATTATTGCGAAGGACGCAGCCACTCGGGTAGCCATCAGTTGGAGGCAAAGAACGAGCAGGTACTCAGAAGGGTTCAAGAGCTGCAACACCTCGTCCAGACTTCCGAGCAGTATCTAAGTGAACAGGAGCAGGGCGGAGGCGGCGTAGGAGGAGGAGGCGTGGCTATGTTGGAATTCGACTCCGATTGCGATAGTCTCAATAGCAGCAAGGTCTCCTCCACGGAGGAATCACAGGGCGGTGTGATATTAAGCTCGGGAGTTACTATCCCGCCAGGACATCCACTGAAACACAGCGATTCGTTGACCCTGCTAGCGGAGACCATTAACCACGAACTGAGTGGGATAACCCAGGGATTGAATGCTATTCCTGAAACGGCACCAGTTTCCTCATCCGCTCCCGCCACACCAGCCACACCCAAGCGAAAGCCCAGCTTGTGCAGCACCTCCAGTCCCCGGCCTCAAAGGAAACTCAATGGATTCAGTCAGCTTCTCAGCGACTTGCAGGCCCTGGGCACCGATTTCTCGCAGAGTGAGAGTGATTCGGAATCCGTGGCCTCACCGGCTCAGTCGCCAACAGCCCGGAGACCGCAGATGATGCAACTTCAGGCCGCAGGAGTGGCAGGACTTGGAGCAGCAGCCAAGCAACCACTGTCGCAGAGGAGTAGCTTTGGTCTCCACAGTCCAGATGGAACTCATTTCGGGGCCGAGACCAAGGACTACAATCTGAGGGAGTATCTGTTGCAACTGAAGGAGATTAGCAATGCAGCATCGGCGGATACCGATGTGGCAGCCCGCCAGCTTTCAGAGATTTATGGATTCGAAGTGAGGGAGGATACCTTCATTGAAACCGATACAGATCTTATAGATCTACGTGCCATTCCGCCACCCCAAACCCCAGACGAACTGGATTCGCTCTCGCTAATGAATGCCGCTCCACCCAAAGGTTTTGAGGGCAAGGCCGAGGAGCTGGACAGTTTTCTGCAGCAAATAATGGTGGCACCACCCACACAAAAGGCCACGCCCGCCAAGGAGCTCACACCCGAGGAGATTATGTCGTTTATAATACCTCCACCTCCGAATTTGGATCAGCAGCAGCAGCATCCCCAGCCATCGGTGGTGCAGTCGGTAGTTCAGCCAGTGGAAACGGAGTGCCTGTACAGCAATTCCGTGCAGGCCAAGCGAGAGTTCTTCCAATCGGTGGCCAATGGAACGGCCAAAAACGGCAGCAGCAGTAATTCCACTCCCCATGTCATTGAATACGCCACCGTGGAGCGGAAGAGCAAGTTCAGCTGCTGTCCCACCAGCAAAAAAGAGGAGCTACCCGATCCGGAGGAACTACAACCACCGCCCAGGACGCCCACTTCCGAGCAGCTTTCTCCGCCGCCGGCAAGGCCACCGAAAAGTGCCGAGCTCCTGCAGCGCTATTCACCCAAAAAGCAGGTGAGAATCATGGCCAATCCAGTGCAGATGCAGCCGCAATCGCAGGAGAGAAGGGAGCTTGGGCCGCCTCAGCTGCCGCCTCGCATAAGTCCCACCTTGGAGGGAGGAAATCCAAATACTAATGTCCTGGTGAGTGGTCCCAAGAAACCCCCGTTGCCGCCCATCGCCAATCGCCCGCGTCCTTTGAACGGAGTGAATCCACCGACCAATCCTTCGTCACCTGGAACTGCAACAACGGCACAACCATCACCACCACCCGCCCACTATTCACCACCCATACCGGCCACCGTCCGATTGCCCCACTTGAACCAAACCAATGGAGGAACACTGCCCATGCTCCCCAAGAAACCGCAGCAGCTGCACGGCGAGAAGCTGTTCATCAAGAATGGTCACCTGATCGACGGCGAGGCGCTGCTGGCCAAAACGGATGTGGCCATGTCGGGTCTCCTCATCAAGTTGGACCAGGTGGCGGCCCAGTGCTCGGCGGCTCAGGCAGCCGGTGGTGGCACTTCCATCGATGAGGAGAAGTTCCAGCGGGCGCGGAACGAACTCACCGAACAGACACTCGCTCTGGTCACGGCCAGCAAGTTTCTGGTGGCCTCCATGTCGGACATGACACTGATTACGCTGCCCGAACACCTAACCTCCTGCCTGACAGCCATTCGCAGGATCACCGAGCTGGCCCAGGATATGACCAGGCATACGTCGGCGCCACTGCAGACACGGAACATAGTGCTCAAGGTGCACGATGTGGCGAGTAGCTTCAGGGAACTGGTGGGTGTGGAAATTGGACCCATTGGAGCCGGACAGTTGGCCCTGCAGGCCGAGTGTTTGGCCAATGTCTTGGCCACTTTGCTGCGATCACTGCGCGTTTTCTCGCCATAACCCACAGAGATGCAGGACAGTGACCCGATCCCGGACAGCAGCGGAGGCAGCCAATCCAATAACCATCCCGACATATCGCACGCTCGTCTCTCCATGTGTAGATCCCCTTACACCACCTACGTCTAGATGTGCAACGAGTCCTGTCCTTGATATTTAAACTTATAACTAAAAGAAAAACACCGATTTACAGGTAAAGGGTCGCGTCAGGGAGTCAATGGTCTGAGAGATGACCCCAAGACTTGGCCCTCACCATCGACTACTAATATCGACACTGGAAGCTCAAATCGAGGAGATTGTCAGCGATTGTGGTGGATATATAGATCCTAAGGATATCTACATATCGCAGTCTTGGGAAATTAATAAAGTAATACTTTTATTACTTGGTTCAAGATCTAAACAAGTATAAAATATCATTTGTATGTTTTGTTTTCTACAATCCCAAAGACCATATCCAAATGTATCCCTATATCTATATATCACAGAGAAGCCACATCGCCAAGGGTCTCCTATAAAAATATCTTTCTTAAATATATAGTAAAATCGATTTATAAATATCTTAGAACAAAAAAGAAAAACAATATAAGAAAACTCAAAACAAAAAAACCCTCTCTCAAACTTAACGCATGCAACTAACTCGAATTTCTATGTAATCTCTTTAAAGAAAATCAACTATTTTTAACTATATATATCATATATCACTCTCGAATCGTTAGTACTGCTCTCTGTATACCAAAATTTCCCCAATTCGAACCCAAGAAATCAATATGTAACACTTGACTTGATTATCTAGACCAATTTATATGAGATACTAACGGAAATATGTTTATTAAATTATGCAATTAGTATATTTTCTTATGTACATAATTTACACACATACCCAAATACCATTTATAATATACATACATATACAACTACTATTAAATATTATTATAAAATTGACCAAACAATAATCAAAATTTTAACTTGTGATATAAAAAGAAATGAGTAAAGAAAAAGTAACAGCAAAACAAAAAAAAAAAAATTAAGAATTATTAAATATTAAACTTTAACTTACCTTTTAACTGAATTTATTTAAATGTATGTTCTCTGTTGTTAAACAAAAAACGATAAACTCCTTTTTTTTGTTATTGTTTATGTGTCATACCTTTTGTTGTAGTTGTTGGCGATGAGTACAAGAATGCGCACTAAGTTGTAGCTTTAACTAATTATATTATTACAAATAGAGGATAATACGTTGAAAAGGAAACTAATCGATAACTAATTGTTTTCATTTTGTTTACATTTTCCGTTGAAACAAACTAGCAAACACACACACACATATGCATAATAAACATAACCATATGATATATACATACATAATATACAAGTATGAACTAAAATTAATAATACATATTAAGTAAAGCATATTCAAATGTACAATGTAAAACAATGTAACTGTTTATGATTTAATGAAACAACTAAAAACAAATACAAAATGCATATGAAATTGTATGGAATAAATTCAATAAATAAACCAAAGTAAATAAATATAAACACTGTAAGTTGTTTCTTAAAAAATTAGGTTTAAACTTGGAATTCAATATAACGGAAATTTTAAATTTTAATATACTGCATCATTTTTTATTTGCCAGACATCTTGCTCACTGCCACTAGCTACGTGTTATAAAACTATCAACAGCTGACGCTCTCTTAGAATTTCGCGATACAAATGGCTGCTCGGAAAAGAGAAAAATTAAGAGCGAAAAGATAAAGAGTGGAAAGTAAATATGCTAGTTCTAGCCTGAAGTAAACTAAATTGGCAACACTGATGTGAACGTTATAATACGCCCCCTATGTTTTATTTATTGCAGATGTATGCGTATGTAGAATACATTCTAAAATCAGCTTTTTTACATTATTACAAATACATAAAACAAAATGGGAAAAATTTCTCAATTTAGTTAAACCACGATCGTAAACGCAGACTATTTATTTCTTGCAAAAAAACACGTATTTTAAAAAATATCCATATTTATCTTATCAAATGTACATAAGAATTTGTATACCTATCATCTAGCTAAGTAAAGCTTTTACATTTTACATACTTTTAAATATAGCCAGATGTATTAGCTATAGATATAGCTAGAAATAAGCTCAACTGGCAACACCCTCAGCGCTATAAATACGAGTGCAGGCAAGCTTTTGAAAAAAAAAAAATTTTGACAACCGTACCGCTGCGCCGCGGAAATCGGAAAAGTCGTTACTGGAAGCAAAGCAAAACAAATTCGCGCGCTGTTTTCGGTTCGCATCACTTGAAATCGAAAAGGCAAATCAAATTTCCTGGCTGTCGGACGTGTGCTCTTCGAAAAACTCGGGGAATCTGATTTTGTGTTAAATGCGCGAATCGAAAAGCGTGTCAAGTGTTCTTGTGCGTGTTTTCTGGCTTCCAGTTTGGCGATTTTTAGAGAGCCATAGTTACAGTTTAAAAAATTAAAACGACCCGGAATCGCAGGAATTCGGAAAACGCATAAAAGAGCAGCAAATTTTCGTCTTCCTCAAAACAACGACGACGACGACGGCGAAAAGGCTAAAGAAAAGTGCGCAAATACATACGAAAGAAAGGCGAGGAAAATACGGAAGCGAGGCAATAAAAAGATCGACGAAAACGCAATTGTTATATATAATATATTCTCGTCTTTTGTGCAAGAAATCGACCACACGTCAAAAAATAAATTACTTGAAGTAAAAAATAAAGGAAAAGAACAACCAGCCAGCAGCAGCAGCAACAAGAACAACAACAAAAGCATCCTCAAGAATCTCGCTCTGCTGCTCTTCACATCGCTCTCTGGCTGCGCTCACTCTCGCTCTCTCTCTTTCTCTCTCTCTTGGCGAAGGCGGAGAAAGAAGGAAAGGAAACAACAAAATAAATCTTCTTTGCTGCCCAAACAATAAAAGGAATAAATAAATTCTTAGCGAGAGCGCATTCTGCGGCATTTATGCAAACAGATTAATCGACAAAATGGATTATAAATTCATTGTTTTCAACGCTGCGCGGGACAATAATTTGCCCCAATTGAAGGTGAGATTTTTGAGTCCAGTTCGAATTGGAATTTCTTGACGAGCATTGGTTTTTTGTTATTGTTGTTTAGAAATCTCAGCTGCTGCTTTTGCTGAGACAGTGTTTTTTTAGCCTTGTGACTAATCAATAAAATTCTCTCAGCACAAACACACACGCTCAGACACGCTCCCAGCACACACACACACTCACGCAACAAGCTCTCTCGCTATCTCCCTCCCACCCCGCTAAGCCGAACACGCGCATGTTCTGCACCAGTGTTGGTCGAAATATGCAAATATGGCCAGAAAAAAGCTAAATGATGTGAGAATACATAAAGGAGGATCTATTTTATTTCGTAGTAATAGTATTTAAAAGAATTATAGAAAAAATCTAATTAATTAAACTTGTCAGTCCCTACGTTTTATAATGATTTCATTGGTTGCTTAACGTACAAGTTTAAAAAATATTTCGATTTCGATTTTAGCACCAAGAAAATTTAAGATACATGTATTCTAGGGACATTAAATTGATATTTTTATTTGCTATTTTTTTAGGTAAAACAAAGTTTTTCAATTGTTATAAATAAGCCAAAAATGCATATTTTTCAACTCGGAAAGCTTTTCTGTGCTAGATTTTAGAAGCCTAACAAAACTGCATATTAAGTTTTGAAATTCAAAAAACTAAATTTTTTGCCAAATTATGACAATTTTAACGATGTAACCCCTTATCAAATTTTGAAATTTAAAAAAAAAAATTCAAAATTTTTTTTCAACCAGGCATATGTAGGTATAGCGAATCAGCTGTTGATGGTGATCAAGAATATATGTACATATATGCTTTATAGGGTCGGATATGACTCCTTCACTGTTTTTCAAGCTTAGGGCATATTTAAATTTTTTTTAGTATTTTCTACACACTTTCTTACTTCATTATTAAATTAAAAAAAAATATTCCTAATATGAAATCAATGATTTAAAGTTTATTTTAGCCACAAATCCGCTAAATGACTTGCTTTCAGGCAAAACAATAACAAGTACTTGTGGTTTGTGGGCGTTTCGGATGCGAAACTTTTTGCCTGCGACTGCAAGACTTGCCTCAGCACGCTCTTTGCATAACAAAAGTTCTTAAGTTTGGCCCAAGCTTTGCCACAAAGGCGGCTTGACATTGGCAAAATTAAGTAGAAACACAAACTGGCTGCAATTGGCGATGTTGCATTGACGCCAAGTTACGTTTTGGCCCCCACTTTAGTTATTGTTTTATATTTTTTGCCGCACTTTGTGGGTGTTTATTATTTAGTACGATTGTATAAGCGCTTATTAGTATGGGTTTGATTCTAAGTTTAGCAAAGCCATAGTTTGTGTGTGCGGCCCCCGTGCCTGCCATTTTCATAAATTAAACGTGAAATGGAAATTGGTTCGGCCGAGCAAATTGCAAGTGTGCCGTAAAAAAAAAAATCGTCTGAAAATACTTGCATTTTTACAAAATGTAATATGAAAATGTGCTCTAGAAGTTATTTCTTAATTACTTGCGTTTATTAGTGTTGATTTAGCTTAGTTCTTGTAGTCAAGCAGTTTTGTATAGTTAAGGGTCTTATAAATAACCCAGGAACTATTTATTACTCACATAGAATAAAGTAATTAATCAATTTATTTTGAGTATTGCCTGTTAAAAATATCAATTTATTTCAATGAAACTACAAAAAAACAAAATTAATACAATATTTTGTAATACCCAAGGTTTCATATACAGACTTCAATCTACTTTATAACATAAGAAGGAGAATCTTAATAATATTAGTTTGTATTATTTCATACAACTCAAATATTTTTTATGGGTTGAGTAAATTCTTTAAGCTAATTACACATATTTCCGCCAAAGCCTTTTTTGCTTTGATTTTCTTTGCTTTATGCTTTGCTTTTCACATTTTCCACAACGCTTGATTCATTTCCTTTGAGGGGCTTTATCTTATCAGCTCAGCGACTTTGCTTTTTGTGTATTATTCTGCTTATATTTTGTTTGTGTTAAGCGATGAGTGCTCCAAATGCGTAGCAAGTATTTTTAACAATTTTATTTGATTGTTGTTTTTGGCCTGGGAGCCACGTTTGTGTCTCTTGGAACACGTTAATAACTGCCAACGAATTTCAACAGCTGAAATCACGTCGTCAGCGGAGGGAGTTCACTTCCGCGATAGTCACTTGCTGAGCGGTTCTACCCGTCTCTTTCGCCAGCCATATAACCCTCTCTTTCACTCATCCGATTCAGTACCCCCCTCCCCGAACGCACTTTGCTTATTAAAATGATTATTATGCCGATCGTTGGGAACAAAGAGCCATTGCTCTGAGCTTTTGTCCCCCGCTGCTCAGCTTGGCTTCCTTTGGCAGTCGCTGCTTCTGCTTCTGCTTCTTTCAATTATCCTTGAAAGCGTTCAATCACTCCAATTTGGAAGGCTCGACACTCTGCACCGAGCGAAATAAATATAACCAGTATTCATATTTTATTCTAATCACTTGTTTCTGATGAACCCGGAAATGAGCTTTGCTTCTGTGATCAATTTAAATGTGTGATATATTATTTATAATATATTTTATTAGAAAGAAACTAGTTTATCCTAATCGTTTGAAAATAATAATTAGTTAAAGCCTTAAGAAAACATGTTTGAAAACCAGATTCGAATAAAACAAATTTTGAAAGCGAATTAGCAAATTCACAAAAGTTGAACTTGAACTTGAAGAGTACTTCAAATTAGATAAGGAGAATGCCCAAAGATGAACTTTTTATAAATGGATTTTCAATTGGTTTAAGTTAAATTAAAAGCTCAACGTTTTTTCCCCAACTGCATTGACGAGCTGGAAATTCATGTTCGTTCTCGGTTTGGTTTCGTTTCATCAAAACTTCCTGAATTTACCCGGGGCTCGACCCTGGAAATGTGTCATTTAAGGGGTGTGAGTTTTCAGCGGTCGATTGTAGGGATTGCTTACTTGTCCCCCCACAAATGGAATAAGTAAATATATACTATATACTATATATATATATATATATACTTATGCCCCGAAATAGCTTTAAGTTTTTTTTTTTATTTTGTGTATGGGCTGCTGCATTTAATGCTCCAAATGCGAGAGGGAGCGAGGCAACCAGCGCTCGATGGTGCAACATGTTCTAGCCTTCGCCTCATAGAACTGGTTTTTCTGGCTCCGTCGTTGTTTATATTTGTTCCAAAAATAACAACAACAACAACAACAACAAAATAAGACAGAGAGCGGAAAACAACAACGCACAGAAAAAACACCTTACCGAAGAGTTTTTTTGGACGTACACGAAGTTGAAGTGCCACTTAAAGTTGAGTACACACAACGAAATATTTCTGTGTTCTTCCTCCACTTCTACAGCTTCTTCCTCTTCGTTTTTCCCCTCACTTCCCCACTTCCCACCTCGTTTTTGGGGTTTCATCTTGGGGCAATGTGATATGGGGACGGATCGGATGATTGATGGATGGTCTGTGCGGGTGGAGGAGAATGGGAACGGAACTAGACCAACTCTGATCTCTTCGATAACTCAATAGAAACTTTTCTAGAAACTTTGTCCATTGAAGTGAGCTCAAATTTTTATATTTTGCAATTTCAAGTTAAAAAAAATAGGAAAATAACTTCGGGAAGTCGAAGTTTATAGACCCTTCTAGTTGCAATTAAATTATAGCATCAAGACGGAAATTGATCATAACTAAGATAAAAATAATTGCATTCTTTGCATCGATTTCTTAATCTGATAATTTTCATAACAAATCAATGTTTAAAAAACTCATAACTCAGTCAAAAAAGCATACATTTTAATTCCGAAAGCTTTTCTATGTCAGTTTTTAATAGGTTAGTAAATCTACATACCCCATTTATAATTTTAAAAAAATAAGATTTTTGAAAATTTTTTTTATCCGGACATATGTAGCTATATCGATTCGGCTGTTGATGCTGATCAAGAATATATATGATTTATAGGGTCGGAAATGACTCCTTCACACCGTTACACGTTGCTGACTAAGATTGTAATACCCTGAAAGGGTATGAAAAGACGAAATTCTGATAAATAGTTTAGTTTAGTTTATAAATATAATTGAACTATTTATTTTACATTTTTTTTTTAATATTTCCGAAACCTTGTATTTGTAGTTTCTTTACTTAAAAAGTAATTATTAGGTATATTATTATTATTATGATGCATACGTATGAATTAGTATACTATATTATACTAATATATATATAGGTAATAATTGTACTATTTATATAAATATTACATTTAATATCACACGTGTCATTTTAATTTCCCCAGTATTATTTTTACTTTGTATTTGTTAATTGTCTACATTTCATTGAGCTGGTAAACTTTAACCCTTTAGGCAAGTTGTTTATCTAAGGTTCAACGACTAATTTCAGCTATAACTGCCTTAAATGAAATTAATTACGTTTAACCTTAGGATTGCTGGGTTCAATGATCTTGATTATTTATCTGGAAGTCAAAAGAGAACAAAGCAACAATTAATAGTATACAATTTTGGTTCGGATACAATTTAAGCTCTTATTCCAGCTAACTAGTTCTTGAAAGATACAATAAATTGTATCTTTACTTGTCTTTATATTGTATTTAAATTAAACTTAAGTGACTGATCACTAGACTGTTTATTTTCTAATACTATATTCATTGGTTACAAATGTTTAACCTTGCAATACATAAGCAATTGACCAAAACTGATTAATTATTCTCATTTGGAACTCATTAAGTATGTAGTAATTTGTTGTTTCTTGATGATTTTAATTACATGCAAAGCAAAATTCGAAAAGTCCGTTCCAATTTAAGAAAAAAAAAACACACACACACTTCAATCAGGCAACGTTTCTTGAGCGTTTTCAAAACATTTGCCAAGGCATAACATTAAAGATAATTCCATGTACATTTAGTTATTTATTTTTCTCATTTGCTGTTCGCTTTTCGTTGTTTTTATTTTCTTGTGTTTCTATGCAAAAAACCTAAAA